ATTTTCATCATGTAATCCTGTGCTATCACTGATATCCTACATTGTATTTCTGATCAAAATACTGTATTTTTGCTTCAAAGAAGAGAAAAAGAGAACAGCTCAGCCACGAGCACTGCTCCTACATGAGAACATACAGTGGACTCCATTCCTTTTCCTATCAGTGATGTTTGAATAACAAGTTTCAGAAAACTTCAACAGCCAATATAGACAAGTTGATGCTCTGGTGCCTGTGCTTCAGCAAATGAAGACAAGGACAGAAAGAGCCACTGATGTGCACACCTTCTGACCCTTTAAAAACACAGCAAGCCCAATTAGGAAGTGACAGCTGGAACGCTCTGCCTCCTTCCACCTGCTGACCCTACACCACACTATCATGCACCCCAGCAGGATTTCTGGGAAGAATATCATGTCCTGAGCAGACACACAGCCTGCTGGAAAACTGCTTTTAGCTGAGTGACTGAACACAGAATGAGTGCTGGTACACAGAACCAGCTGCCTCTGCTTCTCCATTTCCTCCTTTGATTCTGTCTTAAACCGAACTCAACAATCACTACTCTAGGCAGAAAATGGCACATGAGGAGTACATGGAAATTGTTTTAATATAGTATCTCAAGAATTAAACCCAAAGTCTCAGCTAAATTAAATAGTAAATCTCAGATCTGCTCAGTTGCACCTACTGCAAATCCTTTTTTTTTTTTTTTTTTTTTTTTTTTTTTTTTTTTTTTTTTTTTTTTTTTTTTTTTTTTTTTTTTACAGATCAGCTACAATGAGCATGGGGAGCTTTTTTCATCTTTGCAAATATTTCAGTCATGCACATGAGTTGCAGCATTCCTGCATCTGGAGAGAGATTGCAGGGGCAATTTCTAACAGCTAAAACGCAATGCTGGCCTTTAATGCATTTCCTGACACGGTGAGTATCTCGAAACTGACATTTCTGTATGCACAGATCTGTCTGCCAAAAAGAAGTACATGAAGAGCAGCAGAGAAGGTGGCTAACCGTTATTCATGTCAGTAATTGACACCCCTAGGTTTCAGTTATTGTCTAAAATCACCAAACACAATGAGCTATGAACTCTCCAAAATGTGATTTTGTGGAATCTGCAGTGATACACCAACACGAGACAAAGCAGTGGCAGCTGTAAATTCAGTGTAAAGAATGGGAAGGGTACTGTTAACCCCGTGATTCTCAGTAGCTACTCCATGAAGAATGACCTTCCCAACACAAAGCAACACTCGACCTGGTAGAGGAGGGCACTGAAGTTCCAACAAACAGCATCCAAACAGAAATTAAGATCGGATTCATTGCTGAAAGCCATGAGAATCTCTGTGAATTAAGTGGGCTCTCCTGCACAGCAACCCCCCAGTACACCTCAGCTCTTCTCTCTCAAGTAAGAATGGTGGTACACAAATAGGTACAGCAGCAAAAGGGAGAGAGCTGCTGCTCCAGTCCATATGCTTCCAAAGATGAGTCAGTAAGGACTACAAGGTTCTGGGATGAGAGGTTTAGCTTAGTTTAGAATACAATGGATGCACATCTCCACCAGGCTACTCCTACACGTTCTTACCCTCCTTTTCAGCAATCAAACAAGTGCAGAACAATCATTCAAAACCAGACGGGTTCTGTGATGCTGCATCTGGCCACCACTTATCTCTGGCAATAAAAGACTTGAACAGTGCTACAGGATAACACCTCTCCTCACTCACCAGATGGCTCTTCTGGCTCACTTTCATTCTCTTCTTCTGCAGGAGCAGGTGGAGGTGGAGGTGGCAGCTTCTTCTCTTTCTCAGCTTTAGCATTTCTCTCTTCTTCGGAGTAATACTCATCTTCTGAGAGATTTGCAAGGCTCTCATCCATCTCTCTATACTCTACCTGCAGAAAGTACAACACACTATCAACACATCGAAGCTGTCAAAGTCTCAATACTAAAACAAACACCTGCAAGCAACACAACCACTTCCAGGCTCGCAGAACAGGCCTGAGCTACCTCAGCCAGAATTATATCTCAGGCATCACATCATACAGGTCTTCAACAGCTCCACAAGTTCCACGTTTTCACCTGCACAATATAACCTGTCTTAGACACCCAAAAGTAGGAGCTTTCTCCTAATATTTAGCCCAAATTCTGTGTTTCTGTTAGGCCAGCATCATCATTTGACCTCTGCAGTTTACTTCCCTGTCTTCGGCTCCTTGTTAAACTCAGGGATGACAAACTGCAAGAGCCCAACCCACAACTCGGATTCATCTGCCCAGTTCTGCACTCCCTGCTGGATTCAGGCACCTCTCCATTCAGACTTCACAATGCACAAACTTAGAAGGATTAGAAGTGACCGTGGCACCATTCACACCTGCAAGTTCCCTAGAAACACTGTGGTCCCTTGAGATAACTTACAGAGCTAGAAGTAGTGACAAGGATAAAATATAATGCAAAACAAAATAACCCAGAATAACTGATAAGAGATATTCCAGTTCCACCTTGCCCCATTCCCAACATGAGGAACAAGGCAGATACAACTCCCACATCTCTTTAGCTGCTCTCCAGCACAAAGAAATCTTTCCCACATCTCTTTAGCTGCTCTCCAGCACAAAGAAATCTTACCAACTTCAGAAAAAAGCATGGCCTAACTGAAATGAACACAGGAATCTCAGGAGAAATAAAAGCATTTTTTCCAAAGTAGGAAAGTTCTGTATACTGCTGTTAAATTTCCCTGCCTATTGCTACTTGATTTCTACTGAAATAAAATCAAGTGCTTCTCAAAACAGGCAGTCAATAGAAAATGAAGAAGAAAGCAGCTGGTGTCCCCCCAACACCCTGCATTCAGCCCCTAGCACGTGACAACAAAAATAACTGCATTTCTGACCACAGAATGAGACACGTTTCACTTTTACCATCAGAGCTATGTCATTAAGGAGAGGCATTAATGGCCACAAGTCAAAGCAGCACAAGGAGCCCTGCACACAGACAAGCAAATGTTCAGCAGAACACCAACCTGCACAGTTATTCACTCACTTTCAACTCTTAACACCCAATTCTGTCCAACACTATTGGTTTTTACACAGTTGAGTGAATGCAGCACTGCTAGATCTGTTGTGAGCTCCCATCCTAAGGTAACTCGCAGCAATCCCCCAGCATCACAGGTGTCTGAAACCAACAGAAAGCAGTTCTGCCCCAAAGCCCTCTGGCCTCTCCTCCTCCTTCAGCTCCTGCAGCACTCAGAATGCAGTCAAACCCAACAAAAAACATGCACAACAAAATCCAAGGTGTATTTATTAATCAGCCTGGATAACCTCCATTGATTTCACAGCACAAACACAGTGACTCAAGGCAGGGCCACCTGGTGTTAGCGGAAAGCAGTTCTGGGAACACCATGTTATATCTTCAGGGAATGGATACTGCCAACACAGAGAAGCATCACCAAAATATACCCCAAACGGTGCAGTAATTCCTACCTGCTAACAAAGCAAGTAAAACACCCTGCAGTTGCATCAGAGTGACTCTATTTGACAGTTCTTATATACAAAAGGTTGGTGCTGCTTTCAAGGAACAGTCATGCAGGACACCACACCACTGCCATCACACAGCTCAGGGTCTCCAGAGGTCATGTCAGCTTCCATCTCAAGCATTACACACACCTGTGAGCTCCACAATCTTTCACAATGAGGTTTCCAAGTACAAGTGACTTAAAAAGAATACGCTCATTTGTGCTCAGAAGGAAATGAGAGTTACTGAATGCAGGTTGTAGTTATCGGCGGCTGCTGGAGGCTCTTACATCTCCCAGCTTAATATTGCTGTCATTAAGGTTGGAAAAGCCCTGTAAGATCATCCAAGTCCAACCCCATCCCCACCATGCCCACTGACTGCATCCCTCAGTGCCACAACTCCGTGGTTCTGGAACACCTCCAGGGATGGTGACCCCACCACCTCCATGGGCAGCTGTACCAGTGCATCACTGCTGTTTCAAAGAAGAAATTGTTTCTAATACCCAACCTGACCATCCCATGGTGCAACTTGAGGCCATCACCTCTCATCCCATCACTGTTACCAAAAGCAGAGGCTGATCCCTGCTTGCCACAACCTTCTTTCAGGCAGTTATAGAGAGCAACGTGGTCCTCCCAGAGCTCCTCTTCTCCAGACTGAACCATCCCATTCCCTCAGCTGCTCCCCAGCACTGTGCTTCAGACCCCTCACAGCTCTGTTCCCTTCTCTGCACACACTCCAGACCCTCCGTATCTTTCTCACAGTGAGGGGCTCAAGGCTGAGCACAGCACTGAAGTGCAGCTCCAGCACAGAGGGATGGTCACCTTCTGCTGGCTGCATTGTTGCTGACACAGCCAGGATGCTATAGGGCTCCTCGGCCCCCTGGGCACCCTGCTGGCTCACGTTTAGCCGAGTGTCACCAACACCCCCAGCCGCACCCCCACAGCACCGATCACCCCCCCACGCTCACACCGCAAATCAGGACACGCGCAGCACCACCCCGCACACGAAACGAACCCCCAGAGGCCGCCCCGGCAGCCCGACGGCCGCAGCACGGCCCCGCTCGTCAGCATCCTCCCCCCCCCCTACCCTCGCTCAGTGGGCTGGACCCGAAGCCCGCTCCGCCCCCCGGCCCGCCCCTACCTTGGCCCGCTTGCGGCGGCTGGTCCGGCGGCCCTCGGGGGTCTCTGCGATGCCGGTGGTTTCGCCGCCGGACGCGGGGGCGGCGGGCGGCTCGGACGCACCTCCCGGAGGCGAGGCCCGGGGCGGCTCCTTCTTACGAGGAGTGCGCTCCGCGGCCCCGCCGCTCTCAGCGGAGGAACCCAGCGCTCCTACGGCCGCGGACGGAGGCACCGGAGCCTCGGGCCCGCCCTCGCCGCCCGCCGCCTCCGCGGCCTTCTTACCCCCGGCCAGCATCGCCGCTGCCGCACCGCACAAAGGGACCACGAGCGCGCACGGCGCCGCCTCCTGACGTCACTTCCGGGGCGCGCGTGCCGGACGCAGCTCGCGCATGCGCATCGGTCTCCTCGCGAGAGCGCCTCAGGGTGAGGCGGGAACAGCGCGAGGTGGCGGACATGTTGGGGCGCGACGGGCGGGAGAGCGGAGGGCGAGCCTGACACACATGGTGGCAGTGCTGGACAAAGGGACGGCAACTGATGTCACCTGGCAGGAGTTGTGCAAGGCGGTGCACCGCATCCTCATCTCTGAGCTGGAGAGATACGGATTTGAAGGGTGAGCTGTTCGGTGGGTAAGGACTTGGTTGGATGGTTGTGGACAAAGCGCTGTGGTCAATGGCTCTGTGTGCAGGTGGGGGTGGTGAGGAGGGGTGGCCCCCAGGGCTTCACCTCAACACCAGTAATCTTCAGAATCTTTACCAATGATGGATGGAGTGCACCGTCAGTGCTTTGCTGATGGTACCAAGCTGAGCTGTGCAGTAGAAAGAAGAAATGCCATCCAGAGGGACCTGGATCTGTGGACAAGTGGGTCCATGTGAACCTGATGAAGTTCTGTGAGGCCAAGTGCAAGGTGCTGCACCTGGGTCTGGGCAATCCCAGGTCTGTGTATGGAGTGAGAGAACTGATGGAGAGCAGCTCTGCGGAGAAGGAGTGAGGGAGCTAAGGGTATTCAGCTTGGAGAAGGCCCTGGGAGCCCTCTTTACATTAGTTGAAGGAAGCTTGTAAAGACTACTGTAGCCCTACAGTAGGTGAAGGAAGCTTATAAAGAGGAGGAGAGTAACGTTTTACATGGTCTGGTGGTAATACGACAAGGAGGAATGATTTTCAACTAAGAGAGATTTAGGTTAGATGTGAGGAGCAAATTCTTTACTCGATGGGCTGTGATGTGCTGGCACTGTTGCCCAGAGCTGTGGGTGCCCCATCCCTGGAGTTGCCCAAGGCCATGAATGGGGCACAGGGCAGCTCAGTCTGGTGGGGGGCACCCAGCCCATGAGGAGGGGCTGGAACTGGATGATTGTTAAGGTCCCTTCAACCCAAGCCATTCTATGATTCAAGTTAACCCTTTTATTTCCAAAAATATTATAGGCTTCTCCTCTAAAACTGTCTTAAATCCCTATCTGTAGTTTTGCTTCACATTCTTTAGTTTATAAATACAAATAAAGCATACATCATCATCTACCTTACTGCTCCTGAGGCATCATCATGCCCACCATGTCAGAATGCGTTTCTTCCTGTGATCAGAAAAGCAAATGTAAGCTAATAGTGAAGTCTAGGAGAACGTTCGGGCACTCAAAAGGATCAGATCTTGCTTTGATTTGTTGTCTCTGTACAGAACTGAGAAGAGCATTTCAATGTAAAACATAAAGGAAGCCAGATTTTTATATGAAGTAGTTCCATTCAGTTCACTCTAATGGCACATACAAACCCACATTTAATTTCTATCTTTATTCAACAAAAGTAAATTCAATTCCACGTCTCACCTGCGATAACAGATGCAGAAGCCATTTCTCCAATTACCCCTTTACCCTTCCCCAACCTATACAAACCGTATCTTGGATTACTTGTATTAGAATGATCACGAGCAATATTTTCCGAGTTTCTGCACTGTTTCAGTTAAGTCCATATGAATGAAAAAGCCCTCTGCAGACCTCAGAATTAAAGTTCAATGTGGACGTGCTGCCCAAGCATCAGACCTCTTCCATATACACAATTATAGGCAAAAGTTGACAGAAATGGAGGAACAGAGGTGTGGAAATGCTGTTAACCATTATGCTTACAAGCAAGAAGAGGAAGACCAAAGAACTTGCAATTTTCTTTAATGCATGGGTCCTGCCTTCACTTCTCCGTAATATTCTTCTGTACCCCTAGAAGCAGAATGGAGAAGAGGACAGCCCAATCCCCCTATACCAATACTGAATACAGACTAATCCTCATTTTCAAGTAGGCCATGATTTATTTCTTTGGCTCTGACTCATCCGTATTGCCACATTTCAGAGGAACAGCATTTTCCTTTATGACAGACATGGATTTAACTCCAGCAGAAAGGCTCATACCTGCATTAAACTCTTTTTAAACACAGTGACCGGCTAGTACAGTTATGATGTAAGAAACCACAGCATTCAAAACCTCTTCATTGTGAGTGAAGGTGGAGACAGAGAAAGTTCACAAAACACCAAGAAGGGGAAAAGGATCAAAACCAATGTAAAATTTAAGAAATAGGTGCCTCAAAATATTATATTTTTCTCCCCTTATAAATCTATACGGAGATAAAAGCCAAGGCATAGGAGGCGTGGCCTTCACCCAGGACTTTATTCTAAATTAAGTTCCACCACTTTGTTTATGTTTAAAAAGTCATAATTTAATACTGTTTCAGGATTCTTGGATTTGTCGTGCTGTTAACATCACACCCGTTTTTAAGAGATGCTCCTAACTTTGCCTCTGGATAGAAGTGCTGTCTGCCCCACAGGCTCCTGTCACTCTTGCTTTGCATCTTTCAAGGCTTGAAGTCTTTCTAAAAGGGGTGGATGGGAATAATGCCACATTGAAAAGATCCAGTCAGAAACAGGAAATCCTAAGTTATCTTTGTTTAGTTTGATCAAAGCAGAATATAGGTCTTTAGCCTTTCCAAGTTCCTTGGCAAATGCATCTGCTTGAAACTCAAATCGTCTGCTTAATACAGTCAAGCAAAAGGAGAGAATCTGTGGAGAGAGATACATTAAAATTACCTAAAAATTCAACCACCTGCACTTTCTTTACACTATCAGTAAATAAACACTGCTGTACCTTCCCTCCCCCATCCCACATGTCACTGTGGCTGTAGATGGAGCTCACTAAGATTTGTTCAGGCTATACCCACAACTGGGAGTCTTACATGAAGCAGTAACAATCTTTATGAAACAGGAATAGCAGAGCTACTAAAAACTTCCAACTTTTCTCCACAGTAGTAATACAATCAATGTAAAATTGTTGTTTAAATAGGACAATACTTCAGCACCTGCATCTGAAAGACAAGTTCAAAACCATACCTCATTGTAAGGTGAAAAAATGAACTGGAAAATAATCATCAAGCCTATCAGGGTCGGCTGAGTCTCGTAGAAGCCAAATGCAGCAAAGAGTTCTTTTCGACCAATCAGAACAGCAAACAAGAAGAAGCAGAGGAAGGAATTCATCTAGAGAAATGTAACAGCATTCTTGATTAAGATGAACTTTTCATTCAAGTCTAATATATGCCCTAAAATATAACTGGTTTGCATATAAGCTCCACAGGAAAGATAAAAAGAAATCCAAACACGTTACTTCAGAACTGATGTGCAGAGGAGCAAGCAGTTGGCTTTCACCAGCTTTCTGGGGGTGCATGCAATTAAAAAAATCATTATTTTGGTCCAGGGCAACCTGCTCCATGTGTCCCTGGTAGAGCAGGGCCTGATGGCCTCTGGAGGTCCCTTCCAGCCTCAACCACTCTGTGACTTCATGTTTTTTTCTGTCAGTTACCTAAAAAAATGCCTCTGGTAGCGAAGGAAGACAAAAAGGCAACACAACAAGACAACCGAGGAGGGAACACTGAAGATGATCTATTTCCTTGCATTTAAGTGTGGGTTCCAACATGTTTAAGGATAAACCATGTGTGCGCACATCACTCAAAGCAGTATCTACTGTTTGTTCCATCATATGACTACTCCTAGCAACAATGCATGTTTCCATCCAATCCAGTATGTGCCCATTGCTTTGTAGGTTGTCCAGAAGCAGCCCCATGCCTTACCATGGTGTGTAGGAAAGCAGATTAGTGCCTTTTCCATTCCTGCAAATAGCTATTTTTAGAGTAATGTGGAACGTGGCAAATAACACTCATTATTCAAACATACAGGACAGAAGAGAGAGAGTGGCAATAAAAATCAACATAAGACATTGCAGAAAAATTGGTGAAAATTTCAGGAAGCGAAGGTAAAGTTTCCTTCAAAGTTTATCTATTACAGCAAAATAATATCTAAATAGTGGCAAAAACATCACAGTCATTACTTTATAATTAGTAGGGATCAACACCAACATCAAAAGTTGGAATATAATTGCATTAATCAAAGTGGAAAGAATGTCACTGGAGGGTTTAGTGTCATGAATAAGAAAAACATAGCATGGAATCAGAGAGATTGTTTTAAGCAGTGATGTAGCCTGAAAAAAAAAAAAAGAAGCATGAATAGCCCTAGGGAAAAAAACAAGAGAATAACATTCCTGCACTCATCAACAGGAGAAAAGGAAAGGGAAAGGGAAAGAGAAGGGGAAATGGGAGGGGGAAGGAGGAGGGGGAAAGGGAGGGAGAAGGAGGAGAGGGAAAGAAGAAAAAGAGTTGGGAATTTGAAAAGATGGAAAAAATCAGATTACACTATGATAGACTTGATAATAATTAACATACAGTAGATAGCTGTGAACTGGAAATCAAAACATCTGAAATTAGGATGTAAGATAGTTGGGGAAGGAATTCCCTTGCAGTGTGCTACAACCACAGGGACATGCATGAATAAATGGACCATCAGGCTCCTTTCATTCCAACGTGAAGTTGGCCAACCTCCAGAGATTGCTTCGATACTAAATCCTGATTTGGGCACACAGCAATTGGTTATTAACAATAACCAATGCACAAAGCAGGACAAAACAAGATAAATAAGTAAAATAGAAATACCCTCTGAGTCAGATTTCATAACTGGCAATCATGTTCCTCCATACTTCTGCAAGGAGCAAGATCAATTCTCTGGTTCACGCTACCCACCAACCAGATAGGGCAACGAAGGAATGGGGCGGTACCACACGCTCATAAAGATACAAAAATGAAAATAAAAGGGGAAGAAAAAAAAAGAAAAACAACAGGAAACAATCACCACCACCAGTTTGTCATAACTTACCTGGCTGATAATGATGTTTTTGATAGTATGACCTAGCTTCCAGTGACCCAATTCATGACCAAGGACAGCCAGAACTTCTTCATTTTTACATCCTTGCTTTTTATTCTGAGGGAAGAAGAAAGTCAAAGTGAGCACAACTGAACATATTTTTCACTTATTGTTTTCTTAAGTCACTTAAGTTTCCCAAGACCAGTACTGCTATTCTCTTCCATTCTTCCAACACATACAAGTTCTTAGTGAGACTTTTTCAAGATGATATTCAGAAAATACGAAGTTGTGAGTTTAACAGTCTTTCTTCCATGAGGCAGCGATGTCTCATTTCTATCTGCAGACATTTCTCAGCAGACCTGGAACAATGCTGGAAAATTTGCCTTCCAAACTCTCTCCAAAGCATCAAAGCTCTTGCCTGCAGTAAGAGGCACTCCTATGATGCACTGATAAGCAAAAGCACTCCCTTCAAAGGGAAGCTTAGGTACAGCAATCCCAAGAGTAGAGACAAAAGCTAAAAACCCAAACAGGTCCCTCATTCCATCAGTCGCAGGGAAAACCTATTTGTTACATAAGAAAACAATGGTTTGCTGAAGCCCCTGTGGACTTCTAAGGTCTCTTTAGTGTTTTTGGCACCCACGCACTGTCAACGCCAGAAATTCCACTTCACAGCGATTCAGGGATACTTTGATGATGGAATTTGGGATTTCAACATCCCCCTTAGGACCTTTAGAACACAAGGGATAATCTCACCAGTAAGTACACATAAATAACAGAATAAAAAACAAAGGGAGGGTAGGGAAGCATAACTCACTTTTGTTTTAGACTTTGTTTCTTCATTCTCACCCTCTTCTCCTTCTGCTGGTTCTTTGTTCAATGCAGAATAATCTTCTAGGAGTGTGTCAAACAACACTATCCGCTTATTCTTGAAGAATCCATAGAAGTAAGCATTGCTATGAGAAGAACGCTTAGAACCTGACAGGGAAGAACTAACATTAGAGACCACAATTCAGATAATCCTGCTCACTATAGCTTATACATAAAATCTTAGACAGAATAGATGCTTTTAAAGGAATTGCCAAAGTCCTGATACAATACAGACATACTCAAGCAAATGATTTCATGGGCTGAAGTGTATTTTAAGTAGAATTTATCTCTTTTACTGACTGCAATAGAGAAATAACATTTTTCATTGTTAAAAACAAAACAAAAACAAAACAGCCAAGTGAAGATCTGCTATCCAAAAAAGAGAAAACAATGTCTATTGTAATTTCAGGTTTGGAGGGAGAAAGGAATTCTGCAAAGAACTTGTGCTGCTCCCCCAGCAAAGTACCTGTCATGGATTCATTCAGAATTGTCTGAAAGTGACAAAAAGGACTATTCACAATTCTGAAGCTGTAGAAGCAGATAAGGAAAGATAAGATGAAGAGATGAAAAACAGAGGTCAGGCAGTCCCTTGTAATTGTTTGAAATAGGCAAATTTTTAGTTATTTTCATCTAAATCACCTGAATGGTGGATCTACAGGCTCTTTCTACTATTGATAGAATTTATGCCAGTAAAATCATCTCAGACTGCTGCAGTTGATCCCAATAAGTTGTCTAGGTCAAAGAAACTGTTCAATTTGTCTATTTTTTTTGCCTATAGACAGGAGCCATTGCAACATCCAGACTGAATAAGGGCTCCATGGGAGAAGAGGTGGAATTTGGTTCCATTTATTCCAGCAAAAGATAAGGTACCTCAGGCTGAAGGCATGCTCTCACTGTATGTTTATTAGCCGCATCAAGTCCTCAGGACATAAAATATCTCACTGCATGTCAACCCAAGGTATACACACGGTAACTTCAGCACTCAACCATGACAGATGGGCAGAGGAAGAGGTTGCTCAGAGCACGAGGCCTCAGCATCCAGTCCCTTTGCATCAAGGAAATCCCATGACCAGCTACAAGGCAGCAAAACATGTCAACCTCTATTTATAAACCAAGCATTTGCGGAGAAGGAACCTTTGTAACCTACCTGTTACTGAACAAACCCTGAAATTAACAGACTTTGTTGCAGATCACCAATTGGTTATGGAGTTGAGAGTGCCAAGACACAGTGCAGTGAAACGCTGGAAAGACATCCATATACCAGTCCTCAGATTAGCAGGGGCTCAACGCTCTTATGGATGCCAGGAAAAGAAAACTAAAAATCCACAGATTTCAGACTCTCACCTTCAACAACATACACTTTCGTCAATGGGAAGTCAATGCTCTTTGCCATTACTTCAATTTGTTGCTTGAGCTCTCCCTCAGGAAGTGGAATGAATTTATCAAACAAAGGAGCAATGTAGTCTGCATAGATTGTAACAAGCACCTGAAAAAAGCCAAAATTGTGTTTAGTATTAACTACAGGATAAGGAACTGATGGTCTTTACCGCAAAACCTTGCTGTGAGGTACCATATCTCTTGCCATTGGTACCAGATGCAGACTGAGCAAGAAGGCCAGGGCTAGAGCAACACTCTGGCAGAAAGAAAAGCTGGACTTCTTTCCCTTGGTCTCTGGACCTACAAAGCTCTTTTTTTTTTTTCTTTCCCTTTTTTTCTTTTAAGAAAAGGACTGGGTTGGGAAGAAGTTTAAGTTCTAGTTAGAGGAAAGGGACAAAGCATGAGAAACAAATGGACATATACAGTTGTGTGGTTTTTTGCCCACCATCTGCTTATCCGCTATTATCTTTGGGTAATCTCTTGATATCAGCAGGACTAACAGACTGGTAGAAAGATGCAATTCCAGCAATCAAATGCAATTACAACCTTTTTTTCCCCGAAGAGATCTCTGAAGCGTAACTCTTAGCGCCTCTTAATGTTCTGTGTGTCAAAGACCATTCAAACCCATACATCAAGGTATCAAAGCAGAATAAATGCCATGGTAAAGCTGCAGTGGCACTGCAAAATAATTGGAGAGAGCCAGTGGTGTGGGCATGGACTTAACCCTCAGGAAGAGGGAAGAGAGAAGGGGAAGGTGGGAGAAGAGGGAAACACAAAGAAAAAACCTTGAAAGATCTCTGAGCAGTACTTGTGAGCTAGACTCACCGCTTCAGTGGGGCACTGCTGCTACTATACTATATGTCACCATGGAGTTCCACATCAAACATGAAATCATTTTAATGAATACAAAAGGATCCTTCAATTACCAATTCAGTATATAAAAGCAGATATATCAGCAGGGCAAGAAATGGAGACCTGTTAATTGTCTCAGTGAAAAGCAAAACAACTGCAAATTGGTGTTTGGTTACGTGGAAAAGAAGCCCTGTGGAAATGTTACTGACCAAAGCACATTTTGTCTTGTCTTGTTAAACCAGTGGTCATTGTCTTGGCTCCCTTTCTATAGGTATGAAAAAGGAAAACAGAATCCTAGAACCATCAAGGTTGGAAAAGACCTCTAAGAGCATCCAGTCCAACCATCCTATCGTTATGTAGCATTTTAATTCCAGTATCTGTTCTAAAGTTTTTTAAATGTTTATTTTTCGCTGAACCAATGCAGAATAAATAAAATCTAAGATATCAAATTAGCATGGGCAAGTAATATGAGATATTACTCCTGAACAGGTGCAGTGTGAACATGACAAAATATTTATTAAACACTGCAGGCACTAAAGCAGATGCAGATTCTTCTCCTATGTTCTTTTCAGTTATGTATTATGTACAGATCAGCACACCAAGCCATGCATTTGGAAGGAATCTAAACATACCCTCATACTCACCAAGGACACAACTAACGTGAAGAGCCAGGCATAGATGAAGAAGTAGTCTCCCCCTATTTTAATAATATAAAGCAGAAGGGATGTCACTGGCAGCAGAATGCACTGCGTCACGATAAACTTCTTGATGGCATCCTTAAAAAAAAATCCCAGTGTCTGCAAAGGAAGGACAGCAATGACATTTACAGTGTAAACACCAATGGGTCCCAGCAGTCAATGAACTGATCCTTACACTGGACAAGCAGAAACAAAGTAAGACAAATCATGCAACAACCAAGTGGCAATAACAATGCGTGGTAAGGAGAGCAGTCAGTTATAAAAGGGTAGAAGAACCTCTTCAGCTCTGCTCATAGCAGCTGTGGCTCCACATATCCACCTGGACTTGAGGCCACATGGCTGCACACTTCGTTAGCAGGACCTGACCCAAACCTGAACTTTCTTGCATGTATATCCTTCACTACAGATGAAAAGGAAAATGTTAAGTTTATCTGTCCTTTAACTCATTTACCAATCATTCATATTGGTATGTATTCCAGATACCATGGAGTTTTAGAGAAATGGGAAGTGGAAAGAAACAAAGTTACTGTAGGATATTTTGTCTTTGAGCAGTTGTCTCAATTCATCTCAACTCAGTCACCAAGCTGATTGTCTGACCTGGAAAAGGGACAGAAGTCCTCCCGAAGACTTGTAGGTAGCAGCTGGGCCTTTTACCCCTATCAAAATTAGAATAACTTTATCAAGATGGATGTTTCACAGATGTTTAAAGGATGCTTCAAAGACCTCTACTTGAATCAAACTTCATGAGTGATTCTGCAATGCAGTTACACTCCCAGCAAGCTCTGTCAGAAAATGTTCTTTCAGTACTTACAGCTATCTGCAAGGCACAGAAGTGAAGGGTTTATTATGTACAGATCCTTTCCAACAAGGCATTAAAAACCCCATACTGTGTTAAAGATATGGAACTCGTCTGGAAAGGAAAAAAAAACAACTGGTGAAACAACTTGGGGCAATAGTTTGGATAGATTTCAACTCTCTCTTTAATGTCAGCACCATGATCTAGTAGAAACAGAGCTATACATTTTTATGGTTTTTTTTTGACTTTGCTCCATCTCTTCTGACCTTTCTAAAGCAGGCATAAACTCAAGAGAATAAACTCATTTCCACCAAGTCATTCTCATGGAAGAAGAGTCTGCCTGAAGATCAATTGCAAATTACCAGGTGTGAATCTGGCTCATTCACTAAAGGAGCCAACCCAGTGGTCTGAAATGAATGGCAGAGAATCAGTGTTGTTTGGAAGACAGCTGTTATAACAGACTGGATTTGAGCCAGACTTGGCATTCAGTTCTTGGCATGAGGACCATAATGGAGAAAAAAGACGTAAGGAAAGGCAGCTCAATCCTCCTCACTCTCATTAAAGCATACAGAGAAACTACAGAGCTTCTGTGAGCTGTCTCAAGGCAGTTTTAAAGAGCTGCTAAGGTCAGTATTTGGCCTTCTGCTTCCCTACAGACAAAGGGTTTGATCAGTGCTGTGAGCTTACTATGACTCTGCAGGGTTATTGATATTTAAGTGAAGCTGTCCATCCATCAGCTGGTCTACCAGTTTGCTCTACCTTTAGTGCATCACAGGTCCTAGTTTTGACAGTCTTAGGACTTTTGTGTTCCTGAAACAAGCTTGCAGAACTGGAACCAGGATGGAACTTATTCCCCACTAAGGTAAGAGACAATCCAAGTACAGGTCTGATGCAACTACAAAGGACTGACTGAGAGATAATCAAAGATGCTTTCTGATGGATATTCAAGGATTTTGAATATCAAAGGGATGTCTGAGGCTAGGCCAGGCCATAAACATACTGCAAAAACTGAGACTTGGTCAGCCTTTACAATCCCTGAGGACTGCAGAACAGAAGGGACAGAGAGAGAACAAGTACATTGAATAGATATTCTGGTTTGGCATTTGCCAGAAGAAAAACACCAGCCTCGTGCTCTGGAAACACAGGGACATTCACCCTTCCCTCAACAGGAGCTCCCTATTAAGTCTGCAGAAGAGAAGGGAACCTCTAGTTCTGTAATTCAGATTCACTCAGATACAAATGACCACATACATCAACACTCTGAGAATGAGTACTTCCTTATTAGTATGAAGAAGAGAAGAAAAATATTTTTAAAAGATGCACATATTCCAGCTTTCCTGGAGCAACATTTTTAGAAGGACATGTTTTCATCTCTAACAAGAGCTGAACAGAGCATAGAAGAGTTCTGAGCTGGTCACAAGCTTAAGTCTTATCCAGAACAGTCTTGCTTCCTACACACTGGAGTAGCAGCTGCCATTGGCACAGTTTCAGAAAACACACACTGCAGTTGTCAAGGAAGAATTGTAGTGACCATTTTCAAAGTTGAACTTCCCCAGAAAGAAAACAGTACACCACTACAGAATAGAGGTGGACAAAGACAACACAGGGTGCACCACCACACTGGGTTTATGAGGCAGAGTTCTGGGAGGAGTGGGATTGGAGTTGTGCTTGGTGCAAGCAGAGCACAGCACTGCCCCCACATCAGCTCAGGGGCAGCCCCAGCTGCTCCAACAGGGCTCAGCTGCTGCCAGAGCTGAGCTGCAAGTAATGCCATGTGCTCTGGGAGAGCAACAGCAGATGGGAGAGAGCAGGGAGAAACTGAGAGAATTAATTAGGTAGATGCTACAGCCAGCATAGAGAAGGAGGGCAGGAGGTGCTCCAGGCACAGAGCAATGGTTCCCTGCAGTCCAGGTGAGGCTTATGGAGGAGCAGGCTGGCCCTGTGCAGCCTGTGGGCACGACACAGGGCAGATCTTCATTTCAGAAAATACCTCAGCCCACTCAACCTACCAAAGCTATTGAAGATGTTAGTTCAGTATACAGGTTGCCCACTATACAATACCTGCTGATTGAAGCCATGTTTCTCTTCTATGACAAAAGTGTTATATAAACTCCATGGGAGACCAGTCAGGGCACTGAACAGCGTTGCGAGCAGCAGGAACACCAACGACTGAACAATCTGAAAACAAAACAAAAGATCTGATATTTACTGACCTATATGGCTTAATATTTCTGCTGTCAAAATGTCAGCAGTGTAACTGAAGCTGGTTAGAAGCTAAAGCTAGATGCATTCACAGGAACAACATTTCTGAGTGTTAGATTACTGAATGCTGGAGCAGCCTCCCTTACACCAAAGCAAACTGTTCTCATAAAGGATCTGGTGCTTGATGCTTGAAAAACTTTGAAATTGTGTTAAGCAGTAGGTTCAGCTGAATTGTGAGAACAGCCCTTTCTGATCTTAGCTTATAGCACATACAGAGGTGGATGTTCCCCTACATTCACACTATTGCTGCAGTGTGTAGGTACTGCTCACAACTTCTTCAGAATACAAACCAGGATGTCACCATGCATCTCAGATGTCTCATGGAGCAGCTGGAGATAAGAGAGGTCACTGCTCAGGTCTGCTTAGAAAGGAAACTTTTTACCACTGACTTCTGAATGGAACAGAGGTTGACTGTCCAAAAAGCAATAGCTTTAAATCTCGTAAGTTATTTATGTGCCTTCCGCAGAACGTTTGGAGTAGAGGAATAATGAATCCATAATGACTAAACTATTTCTTTTGGGGAAATCTCACCATGTAATTTAAAGAAAAACACCTTAGACAAAACTGGCATTACCACCTCCCTGCGATCACACAGCTTTCAAGTGGTTTTTATGATGGTAGAGAGAGATTTTCAAGAGATGTGTTTCTATTTTGCTCACTCAGGCAGCAGGCAGAGGAGATAAACATCAGAACTGACACAACCTAAGAGTGAAGCAGAGGACACTAACCCTTCCTTACCCTAAACTGAGGGCACCTGATGATAACCCAGCTATGGGAGCAGAAGGTATGATGGACACTTCCTTTGCACAGATTATTTATTTTTCCCCCTCTAAGACAAAAATAAAAAAGAAGGCACATTATTTATTTGTGGGGATTATCTCAATAGACTACCTAGGGCTTCAGTGATTCAAGCAGGAAAAAGTATGACACATCAAAAATGCCTCAGATGCAGGGGTTTTCTTGACAAGTCAAATCTTCTCTAGAATAGGAAAGTGTCTGGAACAGAACTCCTCCTTTCTCATTTGAAAGAGAGACTTCAACTTCTCAAGAAAATGGTCAAGAAAGGACATTTCATGCAACACTGGACACCTTGGCCATCACATGTTGTCTTTGAGACTCAGCCACTGAAAATAACCCCCCAGGTTCAACCTCCCCCCTCAATGCTGCTCGTAGTACCCACCATGGAAGAGCTGGCAGTAATAGCCACTATTGTGATTTGACAGCAGAGATGTCTGACACACTCTCCTATATTTTATATCCCATGTTGTGACAGGCAACAGCTTCCATCTATCAGAAACTGGTCCTGAGGGGGGAACAAAGAACCCCTAAGCCTACACCCCCCTGTGCTGCCATCTTAATAAACATCCCTGACACCACAGAACAGCTTTGTTCAAAGTGAGCAGAAGCTTTTTCTGGACAGCTTGAAGGTCCAAACAAAGCTCTGGTCAAAATCTGAAGTAAAGAAAATCACATCTACAATACTTAAAATAAAAAAGCCCTTAAGCCCTATCTGCCACCTCAGCTAGGCGAAGCAGCACTGAGATGTGGTTTAACACTTTCTGTAGCATTTCAAGACTGCTTACCTCATATTCTGGTCCAAACCCAGCACGGCCTGAAATCTGACCAGACAGATTCCAGAGAAAAGGAATTCCTCCGCAGATGAGAATCATCTGGAAAGCAAAAACACAAACCACAGAGCCCACATGAAGCAGGCTGTCACCTTGTTCTGCTATGATTTCAGCATGAGAAGTGACTTATAAGAATGAATCAGAAGAGTTTTGTAATTAGGTTTTTCCCCCTTCTCTTCCCCTGACGTTAGCTCTATGTTTTCCATACAGCACTCGTTGCCCAATGTAACTCTCTTAAGCTCCAGAAGGACCTATTGGTATTCCTCCTGTTCTCATAGGTTTGTCTTTCTATTTCCTGCTTAATTTGAACCTAAGAAACAAAACAGCTGCAGCCCTTCAAACACAGAAAGGGGTTGTATTTGTAATAATTGAAAATCATTCTAATACTCCTTAATTATTTGGAGAGCATGGGTCAGCTGCGCCCCAACGCATAACGATACGGGTTGTAGCTGTGCAGTATTATTCAGCACTGCACAGAGAAATTACCTGCTACCTGAACAATCTCTTCTTTTCACAAGGCAATATAGCCACAAACAAGAAACACAGAGCCTGAACCATTCAAATTTCAGTTTCATATGAGATGCCACAATGCCAACAGCACCAAAGTACTTCTCAGTTCCTTCACAATGAAAATCACCACCTGATGTGGAAGCAGCTCTGGTACTTACAGTGCCCTCCAGCTCTGAGTACAGCCCTGACCAGAAGCTGAAAGTACTTTTGTCCAATTGATACAGACGAGATTTTTCAAACGTTTCTGAGTCCATGATCTGTCCCAGTTCCCATGGCACGTGTGTTGTTGTTCTGTATACCCGTCTCTGACAAAGAGAGAAAGAAACTTCAAACTGACTTCCAGTATTCTGAAGGGGAGAAATAAGACTGAAAGAAGTATCACATGGCAAATGCTCACCAGCGACCCCAGAAAGGAAAAAAAAAAAAACAAAACTGGAAAACCCCACAGGAAAACAAATAAAGTTCTTATTTTCTATGATGTTCCAAATCTACAATCAAAGGACAACTGCCAGACCCAGAAACCGAGCTGCTTGCCTTACCCATTTCTAACATAAAAAGTTGCTATATAAAGATCACAGAAAGTAATTCTTTCCATGGGATAAGACTGACAGTGCTGTGATTATGACTAAGCAGAGTTTCAAACCCAACACCACATCCTCTGTGAAATCATCCCCACAGGCTGGCTGCATGCACTGTGCGATTTCATTTTCAGTCAAGAACTTTTCACTTGTAAATTTCAGAAGTCTGCAAGCCATTCTTCCATCCATCCTTGTCTCATTTCAGTAGTTTTGTTCCTCCTCCAAGGAAAAGCTCCTCAGCTCTGTCACTTATCTCCTTCCCTCAAGCAGAGGATCAGGCTGCAGATCACCCAGTGGCTCACAGCAGCTGCCATTGCTGCTCCCTCCCCTCTGAGATGCAGTTTGCTGTCTTTACAGCAGCCCTTACAGTGCTATGCTCTGTGTGCATTGCTGGGATGTGCCAACATGGCATCAAGGTGCACTGTGCCCCTCTCTCTGCCCATAGGCATGGAGAATGGGGATGCACAGCAAGACAGGAGAGGACACAGTTGGGCAAAGGGGTATCCATAGCATCATTTGAGTTGGATGAGACCCTTAAAGGCCATCTGGTCCAACTCCCCTGCAGTGATCAGGGACACCCACAGCTCCATCAGTGCCCAGAGCCCCTCCAGCCTCACCTTGGATGTCTGCAGGGATGGGCACCACCTCCTCTGTGCAACCCATTCCAGTGCCTCACTGCCCTTACTGTATTCCAACTTATATCCAACGCAGATCTCCCCTCTTTGAAACCATTTTCCCCTGTCCTATCGCCCTGCTAAAGAATCTGTCCCCTTTCTTACAGCCCCTTCAGACACTGACAGACCTGTATGTCTCCCCGCAGCCTTCCCTCATCCAGCTGCACAGCCCAGCTCTCAGCCTGGCCTCGCAGGGAGGTGTTCCATCCCTGGGAGCATTGCTGTGGCCCTTCTCCCCAACAGCTCCACGTCTCTCCTGTCCTGAGGACCCCCCATCTGGGCGCAGTGCTGCAGGTGAGCTCTCAGCACACAGCAGAGGGGCAGATCCCCTGCTTTGGATGCAGCCAGGGTACGGTTGGCTGCCTGGGCTGTGAGGGCACAGAGCTGGCTCATGTCCAGCTGCCATCCATCAGTGCCTCCTTTTGGGCAGGGCTGTGCTCCGTCCTTACATCTCCCAGCTCACACTGACAGCGAGAGGGTCGCTGTGACCCACATGCAGACCTTGCACGTGGATTTACTGAACCTCACGAGCTGGGCGCGCTGCTCGTCCCGCCCGGTTCCCTCCTGATGACGTCCCGCACCGCAGGGCATCGCGCTCAGCAATACGAACCCACGCGGCGGAGGAAGGCGGGACGCTGAGCCGCGGCGTGGAGGCCTTCAGCGTGGCACAGCGCCGCCACCGCACGGGTTCGTTTGCGACCGAGAGGAGCGAGCGCGCAGGACGGCAGGACGGCAGGACGGCGCACACCGGCACCGAGCGGCTCCGCGCCCCGCCGTGCCGGGAAAAAACCGCGTGAAGGGAAACGAGCTCCGCCCGTCGGGCCGGGCCCGCGCCGCCCGCCGCCCGTCTCAGCTCAGACCCAACCCCGCCGGAGCCCCGCCGACCTGCCGGTGCGCCAGGAAGGCCTCCCACAGGTACACGGCCCAGGAGAAGAGCAGGACGGAGGAGAAGATGCGCTTCTCGGCGGGCAGCTCTGCCCACAGCTCGCCGGGCAGCGCCATGGCCCCGCGCCGCGCTCGCACTTCCTCCTTCCGCCGCCAGCGCTGCAGCGCCCCCTGCCGGAGCGGAGGAGCGACGCGGGGTGAGCCCGGCTCTGCGGCGAAGGCGGCGAGAGGGATGAAAGGAAACCCGAGCGCTGAGCCGGGGAACGGACGGAGCCGGGCTGCCGGTGGGAGCGCACGGCAAGTCCCATCTAAACAGAAGGAAATGTTGTTTCCACTGCGCAGGACATGGGAAGCTGGGGCTCCACGGTGGACACAGCCCTGAGTGCTGGCTGAGCGGAAGCTGAAGCTGGTGGGATGAACAAGGCGTGTTCAGGATTTTCTAACCAAAATGAATGTAGGACCGTGGGCAGGCTGTTCTCAGAGATCCAGCGAGTGACGTCCAGACAGCATTGCCACAAAGCCCTCCGTCCTTTTTCCATCTGCTCCAAAGCCATCATAGCATTGGATGGACATTTGCACCCAGGTAAAGAAACTCCTGCTGGTGGAGCTGCACGTCTTGGGCCTGGCATCAGCACACAGGTATTCATCAGGATAATCAGCAGTTAATCACCAAAGCTCCGTTTCAACTTGTGTGAAGCGTTTGATGCTGTCCCACATCACATCCCTGCCTTCAGATCAGAGACGTGGATTTGGTGCATGGAGCGCGGCTGGGTCAGGGCTGGCTGCCCGCAGGGAGCAATCCCAGTGCTCAGTGTTGGAGTGGGAACACTCTGCAGCCTGAAGACCCAACCCAGCCCACGCTGTGCTGTTACCCCACACAGCTCTGAGCTCCCACCCCATCTCCTGCTCAACCCTTCTTGGATTTTCAGTTGGTTGGGATGAATCTTTCTGCCCATCTTTGCCACCCGTTCCTGCTGGTTTCTACTGCTTCTGCTCAGAAATCCCCATTCCTGTTCACGTCTGCCATTCTGCCCAAGATGAACTTCATGCTGGAGGTGGATTACCTTCCCAAACACCACGTTGCTGCTTTCTGCATTTCCCTCCTGCCCCTCAGCTTGCTGTAAAGCCAAGAATTTCAGCATGATTGAAGGAGCAAGGAGTTTCTTAGCAACCTAAAATGCAAAGGAGCAGAAACTCGACTCCCACACAGCTTCTTACTGTGACTTTAGCAGAGCTTGAAAGGAAATCCCACCCTACTGGATGGATGCAGTTTTCAGTATTGAAGCCAGTTGTGTCCATTCAGCCCTATGAGCTCACAGAAGTCTCTTTCCCCCGCTGCTTTTAAAAAACACCACTTTCCAGGACATAATCATTTATGACGACGTTACTCTTCTTCCAGTTTCCAGCAGAGTTCCAGTTGCTTTGCTTTCTTCCCCAATGCTACTGAGGGATGTCTCTTAGCTGCCTCCCACCAGCTCCAGTTTTTCCTTTCCTTATTTTCTCCTCCTTGCAATGGAGTATTTATTGTCTTCAATTCTACTGGAGTAAGCTCTGTTAAATCCTTTTTGAAATCAGGCCACCCAGCACAACACATCCCGTGCATTTCTTCGGCTTCTTGTACTGGGACCAACCACAGCACACAGAGGTTCTGCTGCAGGGACTCCCAGAAGGTGGGATCTTCTACAATTCAAAATCTGCATTTCCTCCTGTAAAGAGAGGTGGTGTGGATTATACCACAGGAAGAAAACAGAAGTGCAAAGATCAGAATACAGAATCAGAGAAGTGTACTCAGAGGATTATGAGAAGAGAAGAGAAGAGAAGAGAAGAGAAGAGAAGAGAAGAGAAGAGAAGAGAAGAGAAGAGAAGAGAAGATTTGAGAGAGTGAGGAGCAGGCACTACTATGGCACTGGCCATGCACACTGGGCAGGAACCCCGTTAGGGATAACAACCTTTCTCTCCCACTCCCACCTCCGTGCTCACACATTTACATGGTTTTGTAGTAAAATATTTTAAAATTGATGAGTTATTTGGTTTTTAAGCCATTTCTTATCAGTTCATTGCGAAGTCAAATAAGTCCCCCCCCATCCCATCCCCTCCTTTCTACAACAGAACAAGTTTGAAGAAATAGAAAGCAAATAAAATTTGGCAGTCCTACCAGGAAACAAATATCTATTGAGTTGATCCAAAGTACAACAGAACTTCTCTGAGTATCTACTAACACTCAGCCCTATGTTCAGGTGGAGGTAATGATAAGTGGCATCCCCCAGGAGTCTGCCTGGGAATGGTGCTCAACAACTTCAGTGACATAGATGGGATCCAGATGCACCATCAGCAGTTCACGTAGAGACAGAGTTCTTTGACAACAAGGATTTACAATGGAGCTTATATAAACCACATAAAAAATGCAAACTCAGTCAAAGTCATGGTTTTAAATGATTTGGAAGTTTGACGTAAGGACATAGGAAACCACGCTCTGGAGGGGGAGGTGATGCTGCAGCAATGTGCACTTTGTTTTCTTTTGCTCATTAATCACACTGCAAGGACAGCAATACCTCCCCAGTAGCCAGAATTTTGTGCACTGTACTTTTGTCTGTCTATGGTAACTGTTCCCACATTCATTTCAGGAGAGGGAAATCAATGCACCCTGAGTTCAACTGGAGATAGACGTTTGCAAGAAGCCTTTCCACAGCAATTTATCCCATTGTCTTAGGCAAACTCTTCTGATGCATTTCTCTGTCACACAGAAGAGCTCCATCCATGCCAAGCAGAAAGCCCTCGTACTGCTGGACAATTCTGCGGACCTAGAGTTGTCCTTATTTATTAAAAAAAACCCAAACCCACAACTAATTCACAAACTGCAGAAGGATGTTCACTGTCCATCTATGAACACAGCTTCCTATGGACCAGAAAGCAGCAATGGAAAAGGAAAGAAAGAACTTGAATAGAGTTTCATTACAATCAAACTTGAGTACAGGTCAATACGCCGTTCTGTTGGACTGCCCCTCTGCTGTCACCTATTGCACAGCAACAAAACATTGTGGGAGGATGGTCGGAAGATTCCACCTCTGCTGCCATACCACCATCATCTGTTTGGATATTGTTTACCAGCAACCATTTTGGAGGATGCTTTATTTACTTCAGACACCCAACCCCAGTGCACGATTTAACATTTTGACCTCATCTTTCCTCTCCTAAAACCTAACAAGAGGATTCACACATCATATCCTCTCAGTTTCAACAAAATGAGATGGGAAAGATACAGCAAAGGATCCTGCTGCTTGGAGCACAACTCCTCTGTGCACTGCAGGGAGTTGGCCTAGATGGCCCTTCAAGCTCTCCTCCAACTCCAAGGATTCTGATTCCAGTGCATTCTTTGAAGATGCCCAAATCACTGTTCCAAGTTCTGAGTTGCTGAGGGATGGCACTGCTGTTTGCTCACTGCCATTCTTGTGGAGACTGGGAGAAAAACACTGATGAAGGAACCAAACGCCATCTCTCCAAGGTGAGAAATGAGACGCAGGAGGTCAAAAAACAAGGAGGCCACACTAAAGATTTACTGTACAGTAAATAAATGGGTGAAAAATTGTAATTTATTGAAACTCATAACTCAAAAAATATAAGATGCTGTAGTGTACAATATGTTACACAAAGCACCCTCGGGTGCACATTCAAGTCAACTCCATCGCCCCAAACCCTGGTACCCCAGCACTGTTCCATACACAGTCATGCACATGTACGCTGCAGGAGGAAGCCTCCAGTACTCTGATGTGTTAAATAGCACCAAAATCAGCAGTCCATTGGAGAAAAAAAAAAACAGAGGGAGGGAGGAGGGAGCTAAATTAACTTGGCCAATGCTTTTGACAGATATTATACATTCATGTAATTAAACAGTCTAAACTAACCTAAACAGTGTGAACTGTGACAGCTACTGCTCTGACGTGAATTCTCCCCAATAGCAGCAGTGCAGACAAGCTGCTCCAAGCAGAACTGCTCACATACTTCCTACGCAGAGCTCATCTGCCTTTTTTGTCGGAAATAAATCTATAAGGGCTGTGGAAAATTTGGATCTTTCAAGAACAACTACAGGCCTTAAGTAATGGAGCTGCTTTAAGGCAAGGTCTCCGCAGCCCGTCAGCGCCTTGTCCAAGATTGCCCTCAGGTTTTCTAAAGAAGGGGCAGATGAGGGCTCTGCCAACAAGGGCTGCATTTCTGTGAGCTGCCCAGGATCACTTTGGGGTATGACGACGCTTTTGTCACTCGCACAGCCATTCAGTGGGGAGTCCTTCTGACCCTCTCCCTCTTTCTGCAATGCTCTGTCTATCGGCAGCTGCTCCGGGGACTCCCATTCCACCACCTCATCAAAATCGTCATCGTCATCGTCATCTTTTCCCTCACTTTCCTGAATGAATTTTAAAAATGAAGACTCAAACCCCATTGGTTTATATGTCTTTAAATCAAATGGTCTGGAGACTGGAGGCTTCTGAAATTTGTCTTTTGTAGCAAAAAGCACATTTCTTTTTGCGTTTTGATTTACCGCGCTATGTTCGCATCCTTCTGGTTCTTTCTCTCTTGGCAGTTCTAATTGTAAACTGGAGAAATAAGAGCTATTTTCTCTTTCACTATTTTCAGAAAACTCTTCAGTGTTCCCCATGCCTGACTCCCTGACGTTATGCTCTTCCAAACAGCTGCTTTTGGAACTGTGGCTACAGTTTAAAGTGCCCGAATACATAAAGGCACTCGTATTGAAGCTCTCACTGCTCGATGGACATTGCTTTTGCTCCTCGCTGCTCACATCCTGATGCTCAGTGTTTGAAACAAGAGACTTCTCCGTTTCCTGCGGGCATTCAGGATCAGCCGATTTCTCCTCTTTCACTTCTAGGTCTTTTTTATCCAAGTCTAAAGCTGGTTCAGAGCAGGACTGCTTTTCAGTCATTGTGCCACATTTAACGCAAAGAACAAGTTTCTGAATCCTCTGCTCTATGTACATGTTGGTCATCTGATGTGTGCGTTTATAGTGCCTCAATATACTGCTTTCCAACTTTACAACAGACAGACATCCCACAACCATGCACGGGTACTGGGTCTGGTTAGAATTCTCCTGACACATTTGCAAGGCTTCCTCTTTTGTTTTGAAACTAAGCAAATGCTTATCTTTGCTTCTGCTAGTTCTTTTCGGTTTGTCTTTGACCCTCTTTCCATTCTGCTTGTTTAGGCCAAAACCACCTTTCACACAACTTTGTCCACTTTTATTTTTGTCATGATTATCTTGCTCCTCTTTCTGATTCCCAAAGAGATCGTCGTAATATTCACTGTGTCGGAAATAAACGTGCTGAGAATAGTGACTGTAGTTTGTGAAAATCCGATTACAGCCGTTAAGGTCGCAATGGATTTCAAAATCTTTGTTTATTTTCTCTCCGCTGGCATGTTCTTCTATGAGGTGCTGTTTCAGCTTACTGAAGGTACAAAACACAGCAGGACACTGGGCTTGATTGCAAGCAAACCTTGCAGATTCAGTCCCAGCAAGCAGCTTTTGGTCATCCAAGTGTTCATTGTGGAAGTCACTACAATGCTTAGCGAGGTCTTTAGAACAGAAAAAACGCTTACCACACTCTTTATGTTTGCATGCAAATATTTTTTTACATTTGACAAGTTCCCTTTTTGTTCTTGCTTTGTCTTTTTCTAAGCAAAGCTGTTCCTTATTATACTGGTGAACAGTCCTATAATGGCGAATCAAACCTTTCTGGTTGGTAAACGCAGAGTTGCAACTTTTATGTATGCAATGAAATGGTTTGTGATACTTATGCAGTATATAACATAAGTTTCCTTTAGCAACTGTTCTTTTACTTCCTCTCCCTTCCCTTGCTTCCAGTTCCTCCCTATGGCTGTCCAGAGTTGCTATTTTAGATGATTTTCTTGTTATGTTACCATCCGTCTCCTCACTGGACTCCAAATCTGTCTCAGAACTACATTCCTCCTTTTTAGGATGACACCGCTGTTCGGAACGGTCAATGAACTCAACCTTGGTTGGACAGACAGGTGTTGGAACACCACCATTTTTATGCACGTTGTCTGTACACAAGCTGACATGATCAAATTTTTCATTAGAACACCCCTTGTGAGCCACCTGCTCGCAACCAATCTGATGCTTGTTTCTATAGTGAATCCTAAGGTGTGTTTTTCTCGTAAATGATCTTTGGCAAATATGACACTTAAAAGGCGAATACCGATGCTGGAACATATTTAGCTGAAGAACCATTTCCTTGGAATAGTTATGCTTTTTAACATAATGCATTAAGAGAGCTTCTCTCGTCACAAATTCACACGTGCACCCCTGACATTCGCAGAAGAACGGTTTAGCTGCTAGCTGAGTAAGGTACTGGCTGGGCAAGTTATCTTGCTGCTCTTGGAACTGAAACTTTGAGGTAGTTGCATCGACTCCTGACTCGGGACACTTGGTGTCTCTAGATGAACAGGACTGTAAAGAGCCCAAAACACGCTTATTTCTTGAAGAACTCTGGATGTTAGAGTTTTTTAAACTGAGATGTTTTAAGCCTAACATGAGTTCCAACATGTTATCTTCAATACTTGATTCTTTAGAACTGTCATAAAAAGATGTTTCTGGAGAAGAAGGATATGTTTCTTCCTTGAAGCTGTTGTTTCCTTTAGCATTTATATTGCAGTATGAGTTTTCTGGAGAGTCAGTATTTCTGTCTGACTTATGACCTAAC